ACCATAATATAATTTTATTTAATGCATTGTCTGGGAATTTCTCATTAAAGCCCTTCCCATGTGCAAGTCACCAAGTTTACAAAGCTATCCATTTGTGCTTCGAGTCTGACAAAACCTTTTATATATATATATTTTTGGGCTTCAGGCAGGAAAAGACAAACCACCTTCTAGATTGGGCTTAACACCTAAAGCAGTGTTTCTCAACCTTGACCATTTTAAGGCATGTGGACTTCAACTCCCAGAATTCCACAGCCAGCAATGCTGGCTGTGGAATTCTGGGAGTTGAAGTCCACATGCCTTAAAATGGTCAAGGTTGAGAAACACTGACCTAAAGGGACCAGTGGCTCAGCCTGTCTACCACAGCTTCAAGTAGCTTTCAGAGACTTAAAAGACGTTACTTAAAATTACTTAAAAGAGTAATTCCAATGAATTCCTCCCTCTGAATCTGCAACCCCCTTTCTACGTCAAGCACACGCAAGCTGAATGCACTGCAATGTAAGTTACTTCATTCATTTTTCTACGTAAGATCCTGAAGACTGGAGAATCCGAAAGATTTCCCGCCAGTCCTTGGGGGTTTTCCTGTAACCTTGGCAAGCGACATTTCAAAGCCATACCAGACCTTTGGAAGGGGAAAGTGCTCCAGGCTTTTTGATGGAATTGCCTCTGAATGACCTGCCTCATTCAGAAAAACCAAACTTGTGAACTGGAGGGGAAGCAACGAGCGGGACAAAGATTCATGTGGATGGAAAACCTGGGAACGGTCGGAATAAACAGCCTGCAGCTTGTCGCCAGGCACACTCTGCGGTTGGGCACAACAATATTATTCTTTCCCCCTGCATTCATATTTGCACAAAGTCATTCAAGGGGTGGTCTAATTTACTGCCTTTGGCCACGCCCACCCCAAAACAAATAAACATAACTTAATAGGTTGTTGTGATCTATACGAATAACACTTTCCTTGTTTCCATGCCGACCTAAGTGTTCAACGAATCCAACTGAAGTCATAGATATTTTTCGGCTTACAGAGGCGAATCAGGAACCCAATTCTTGGCCTTCCCTGGTTTAAATCAGTAGCCGAGCGCCAACTGTGTGAATGGGGTTAAAAGTGAACATTTGCTTGCAATGAAGAATACTTCCATCGTTCTCAAGAGAGGAAAGGATTTTGAAATAAAACCATCCCTGTCGCTCACCCTAGTCATCATTTCTTGGAAGTCTCCAATATTACATTTTTGGGGAAAGGCTTGGAAATCGGACAGTCTCTTGGCTCAAAGTATTCCTGGGTAGTATAAATTATCTGGGTGTATTCAAACCATCCAAAAAAGCCAATGCAGTCACAGGCTGCATTAACAGAGGGACAGAATCAAGATCACAAGGGCTGTTAGTACCGCTTTTTTAAAGGCCTTTGTAAGATCACACTTGGAAGACGGCATCCAGTTTCGGCTGCCACAATATAAAAAAGATGTCAAGCCTCAAGAAAGACTCCAGAGAAGAACATCAAAGAGGCTAAAACATATGAAGAACGGTTGCAGGAATTGAGTATGACTGGTCTAGTGAATATAAGGACCAGGGATGACCCGATAACTGGTTCCAATATTTGATGGGCTGCCACAAGGAAGAGGGGGGTCCACCTCTTCTCCAAAGCGCCAGAAGGCAGGACAAGAAGCAACGGATGGAAACTCATCAAGGAGAGAAGCAACCTGGAACTAAGGAGGAATTGCCTGACAATGAGAACAATTAACCAGTGGAACAACCTGCCTCCAGAAGTTGTGGGTGCTCCATCACTGGAGGTTTTCAAGAAGTGATTGGACAATGATTTGTCTGAAATGGTGTAGTAGGATCTCCTGCTTGAGCAGGGAGTAATAATAATAATAAAGTTGGAAGGGACTGTGGAGATCATCTGGTCCAACCCTCTGCTCAGGTAGGAAACCCTACACCATTTCAGACCAAAGGCTGTCCAGTCTCTTCTTAAAAACTTCCAGTGTTGGAGCATTCACAGCTTCTGGAGGTAGGTAGTTCCACTGGTTCTAACTGTCAGGAAGTTTCTCCTTAGTTCTAGGTTGCTTCTCTCTTTGGTTAGTTTCCCTCCGTTGCTTCTTGTCCTGACTTCAGTAGTTGGACTAGATGACCTCCAAGGTCCCTTCCAACTCTTGTTATTCTGTTCTGATTTCAGTAAGGCTTACAGGACAGTAACTGTTTTCCCTTCTGAAAACTGACTTAGGAATCCTTCTGTGAAATATGTCAATGGATTCAAACTCTGCAGTGCCCTGACTCCCTGGAAAATGATAAATAAATACATTTGGGTGGAACTCTTCCCCTCTCTGCCAAAGAAAACGAATGATTTAATTTGCGATGAAAGTTAAGAAAAATCATTTTTAACAATTACATTTTAATCTAGGCATCAAATACGAGGCTAGAATTTTGCATCTTTATAAAATAGGATTTTCCCATCAGAAACAGATAATAAAACAATCCATTCTCAAACCATATTTTTAACGGGAAGGATAAACATGCCCACTTTTCCTACGTCAGCCACTCACAAGAATTAGTTTGGATCAACGCTTGTTTTTTTGTTTTGTTTTTTATAGCAACTCATGATTTTGTAGCCAGCTCCTCCAATCCAGGCTCAGCAGAAGGGACCAGGGACAGCAATCCTGGTTTGCATGTCCAAGCCCCCCTCCCACCCACCCCCCAGACAAATCTGAGAAGAGAAAAGCAGGCTGAGATGAATGAAGATACTTCCAGAAGTACCAAAACAGATTCTGAGCCAAATCCTGCCTTTAAAATATACTTTTGTAAGGAAAGCTCTCCTGATTTTAGTCTTGATGGGAGCTAGACAGGAAAAGCAGCTAGTGAGGTTAAGTTCTACCTTTAGCATTTTCATCAGCCAGGCCCCCCCTGTCCCCCTCCCCTTTCTTTTTTCCTTTCCTTTTTTCAAAGCTAGCAAGACATTAAATCAGTGGTTCTCAACCTGTGGGTCGGGACCCCATTTGGGGTCGAACGACCATTTCACGGGGGTCGCCAAACAAGGCTGTCCGCCATTTTTTTCCCTTTTCCCTAGCTGTCCTACTCCCTCTTATTGGTGGCCACACCCACTTGGGGGTCACCACAACATGGGGAACTGTATTATGGGGTCACAGCATTAGAAAGGTTGAGAACCACTGCATTAAATCCACAGGTACCAAGAAAAATGAAACCAATCTCGGGAAAAAAAAAATCCGAATGTAATTTGTTCCCTACAAGCAAATAGAGCAACGCATCAAGATTATTTATTAAAATGTTATGTTAAGCAGACTTGTAAAACCTGATTGAGGAGGCAATATTCAATTGTTACATATTTTTTTAAAAACACAGAATGGGCTACCAGATATGCATTAAACATGTATCGGAATGCTCCTGATAAACAGATGTTTTTCTCGGTACCGTCTTCCTTTAACTGGGATACAGGCTCCAATCGTGCAAAAAAATGATTTTTAAGCGCATTAGCATTAATTGAGATGCTACTGCATTATGTTAAGATTTAAAATAATTTCTTTGGAGGAAAGAAAATCCATCCAATTCACTAAGCCAAGGACATAAAATTGTAACATTGGAAGCAAAGCAAGCCCTTTGCTCAATGTCCACTTTCAACTAAAACTTATTTAATTACTTTGGAGTTAACAAAGATACCAAAACAATATATTAATTAAAGCTGCAAAATATTCAAGAGCCAAGAGAATTAAGGTATGTGCTAAATTTAATATACGTTTTAATACATTTTATTCAATTTTGGCTTCTTTTTTTTGGGTGAAGAAGGCTAATTATTATGGGTTCCCCCCCTTCCCCGTGTCTTTCAATCCATGTTGATTCCTCGCAAATGCCTGGCGAAGCCTTGGCAGTTTTCTTGAAGATTTTTGGAAGTGGTTTGCCATAGCCACCTTCCTAGGGCTGAGAGTGAGTAACAACAACAACAACAACAATAATAAAGTTGGAAGGGACCTTGGAGGTCATCTAGTCCAACCCCCTGCTCAGGCAGGAAACCCTACACCATTCTGGACAAATGGCTGTCCAGTCTCTTCTTAAAAACTTCCAGTGTTGGAGCATTCACCGCTTCTGGAGGCAGGTTGTTCCACCAGTTAATTGTTCTAACTGTCAGGAAGTTTCTCCTTAGTTCTAGGTTGCTTCTCTCCTTGATGAATTTCCATCCATTGCATCTTGTCCTGCCTTCAGGTGCTTTGGAGAATAGCTTGACTCCCTCTTCGTTGGGGCAGCCCCTGAGATACTGGAAGACTGCTATCCTGTCCCCCCTCATCCTTCTCTTCATTAAACTAGACATCCCCAATTCTAGCAACCGTTCCTTATATGTTTTAGCCTCCAGTCCCCTGATCATCTTTGTTGCTCTTCTCTGTACTCTTTCTAGAGTCTCAACATCTTTTTTACATCGTGGTGACTAAAACTGGATGCCATATTCCAAGTGGGTCCTTACCAAGGCTTTGTAAAGTGGTATTAACGCTTCACGTGATCTTGATTCTATCCCTCTGTCAGTGGCTGACCCAAAGGTGGGTCTAAAACTCACAGCCTACCTGTGTCTAGCCTGGTGCCGTCATCACAACACAAATCGGCTCTTAATGCTACATTGGAAACCAGACCTGTCCTTTTGCTACTTAAGGACAGAGGCTTGTTTTCAGGGCATGCTAGAGGCGTCACTGTTTTATCATATTGTTATCAATTGTGTTCTTCCTTCCACTGACAATCCTACTGCAGCGGGAACCATTTGCAAATGCTCAGGATAGGAAAACTAGAATAAAATGTTTGCTAAAAATACCATAGTTCTCATTTTGCCATTTGCAAGGTTTTTTTTTAAAAAAAATATCTTTTAGGGAGTTTCAGACATGATGTCACCAGTCAAACTTCCTATATTTTGGTGATGGTGGTTGCTAGGTTGTCACACTCTTTAATAGACTTGGGCAAACTGAGGGGATGTATTTTGACTTCTTCCTTAAAAGATTATGTTCGATACTCACGTAATCTGGAAGTGGAGACTCAGGAGCAGACGGGGAACTTCTCAAAGACTGCGTGGCCTGTTCCAAAACTTTGTTGTGCTTTTTGGACAACAAGGAAAACAAGCTGGAGGGGAAGGGAAGGAAAAAAAAAAGTATATTGTTTTCATAGGAATCAACGGAAGGTGTTCTGTTTTTATGGAACAATTTAGCGCAGTGTTTCTCTAGCTTGGCAACTTGAAGATGTGTGCCCTAGGGAATTCTGGGAGTTGAAGTCCATATATGTTCCAAGCTGCCAGGCTTAAGAAACACCAGTGCAGACTTTACCTTGTAGAGGTAACTTTTTTTAAAAAAAAAAAAAGAGTTTATAAAGTGTTTTCTCAGAAATTGAATTCTACAAAGGACATATTTAGTTTGAAAGCAGAACATTTCCAAGGTAGATGACAAAACAAACATTGTGTTTGGACTGCAAGGAGACCCTGCAGATATAAGTTAATCCAGAACCACAATTCAAGGTAAAGAACTTGGATATTTCCTTTTTTTTTTCATGAAATTTCCCTTCATCCCTGCTATCAAGTTGAGCATTTATTCTGACTTTTTTTTTTTTTTTTGCCACAATCTTAGGATGCTTGATGGCTTAAACAGGGCTTCTCAACCTTGGCAATTTTAAGACTTGTGGATTTCAACTCCCAGAATTCCTCAGCCAGCTTTGCTGGCTCAGGAATTCTGGGAGTTGAAGTCCACAAGTCTTAAAGTTGCCAAGGTTGAGAACCCCTGGCTTAAAAGTATATCCACCTACCACGAATTAAAAAAAAAATGAACCAAGGGTTAATGTTAATATTTCTAATTCAAAAGCCAGCCCTACGTTTTTTCTGCTGAACCTCTCCAAAATGTCCTTGTGGAAAAATGAAAAATCCACTACGGTTTCCTTTAGTTACCCCAACATTTTAGTTGTCAAAAATGCCTTCGGTTTTCCATCCACCTGCAGCCTTCCAAAAGATGAGCTTTGCAGACCTTCAAAAGCGTCAGGGGGGCAAAGAAATAGGATTGGAAACCCCAGAACCCCAGACTTAAAATCACAGCTGAGACCAAAATTACCACTGCTAAATGAGGCGGTTTGTTAAGTGAGTTTTGCCCCAATTCACAAACTTTCCCTGCGCAGTGATTAAGCGAATGGCTCCCGTCGCTAAGTGGATCGTGCAGTCATTAAGCAAATCTGGCTTCCCCCACATTGACTTTGTTTGTCAGAATCCTGCTGGGAAGGTTACAAATGCAGATCACACGGGACCGTGCAAGGTAGGCAACCTGGGCTCTTTTATGACTTGTGGACTTCAACTCCCAGAATTCCTGAGCCAGCCTGGCTCAGCTAGGAAACCTCTCCCTTTCCCCTCAGCACGGCTGGCTCAGGAATTCTGGGAGTTGAAGTCCACGAGTAATGAGGGGGCCATAGTTTCCCTATGCTGGCTCAGGAACTCTGGGAGTTGAAGTCCACAAGTCATAAAAGAGCCAAGGTTGCCTACCCCTGAACTATCATAACGAATGCTTGCCACTGGCCAAGGGTCTGAACTTTGATCATGGGGAGAGGGGGATGCTGGAACAGTTGTGTGAAAACGGCCCTACATTGTTTTTTTCAATGACGCTGGAACTTTGAACAGTCACTAAATGAATGGTTGTACGCCCAGGACTGCCTGTATATATAACTTTATTCAAATTCCACACTGCAGGGTAGACAAGGACTGTGGGAACAGGTGTAGAGGTTCAAAAGTATCTAGGGCAGCAATGCATCTGCAGGGATTAGGGATCCTGACCCCGGATCTGACCTAGCTCTCGTTTTATCAACTTTGGTGCTCTTGAACGTTGGAAAAAGATGGACAGGAGCTTCCATGCTTCAGGAAGTCAGTAGTGTTTTCACTGCTCTCCCCAAATTTGGTAAATGCAACCGATTTCTTGTCTATGGAGATTCTCAGTCATCCAGGTCAATGGCTGTGCCAAAGATGCTTTTTCAAGAGGCAGATGGACTTTCGTGTTTTTCCATGAAGAGGTTTCGCTTCTCGTCCAAGAATGGAATGGAATGGAATGGAATAGAATAGAATAGAGAATAGAATGGAATGGAATGGAATAGAATAGAATATAGAATGAGAATAGAATAGAATTAGATAATAGAATAGAATAGAATAGAATTAGATAATAGAATAGAATTAGATAATAGAACAGAATTAAAACAGGAATAGAATAGAATAGAATGAGAATAGAATTAGATAATAGAATAGAATAGAATTAGATAATAGAACAGAATTAAAACAGGAATAGAATAGAATAGAAGCTGGAAGGGACCTTGGAGGTCTTCTAGTCCAGCCCCGTTTAAGCAGGAGTCCTATACCATTTCAGACAAGTGATTGTCTAGCCTCTTCTTAAAAACCTCCAGCAATGGAATGCCCACGATTTCTGGTGGCCAGCTGTTCCACTGGTTAATTGTCCTCCTTGTCAAGAAGTTTCTCCATAATTCCAGGTTGCTTCTCTCTTTGGTCAGTTTCCAACCGTTGTTTCTCGTCCTGCCCTCTGGTGCTTTGGAGAATAACGTGACCCCCTCCTCTTCTTTGTGGCAGCCCCTCAAATACTGGAACACTGCTACCATGTCTCCCGTTTTTTTTCTTCTTCTGACTCAAGAACCAAGAAGCTTCTCCAGATCAGTCAGAACTGACAAAGCTTCTTGGATGAGAAGCGAAACGCCTTCAAGGAAAAACAAAATAAGTCCAGTTGTCTTTGGACAAAGCCCCCTTTGGGACTACTGGCTTCTCATTGCTTTCTGGACGCCCCCCCCCGAGTCTCACTGTCTCTTCCAAAAGCCATCAAGAAAACCGTAGCAAAGTATTGTGTATGTGTCAGTGTAACGTGGGTTTGAGAATTAATTTCAGGAAGCAAAACACAGCTTTCCAGGAGGAAGGTGGTGGAAGGTGGAGCACCCGTGAAATATTTAACTTATTATTTCTATCTCTATTTTAGGCATGTATTGATTTGAATACTATCTTCATTAGGCGTCTGTCCAAGAAAAAGAACACCTAACAGCTTATTCAAACTCTACCGCCAATACAGACAGTCCTCAACTTACAATTCATTTAGTGACCGTTCAGAGTTACGACGACGTTGAAAAAAGTGACTTATGGCCGGTTTTCACACTTACGGCCTTCGCGCCACCCCTAGGGTCGCCTGATCAAAATTCGGGTGCTTGGCAACTGACTCATCTTTATGACGGTCGCAGTGTGTCCTGGGATCACGTGATCCCCTTTTCCGACTTTCTCACAAGCTGAGTCCATGGGGAAGCCAGATTGGTTTAATGACCGTCTTACTGTTATCAACTGCCGTGATTCATTTAACAACGGTGGCAAGAAAGGCTGTAAAATGAGGCAAAATTCAGTTAACAACTGCCTTGCTTAGCAAGAGAAATATTGGGCTGGAGGGCTGCCTGTAAACATTATTTAGAGCAGGGGGTCTTCCAACTTGGCCCTTTGATGACTTGTGGACTTCAACTCCCAGAATTCCTCAGCCAGGCACGCGTGCCTGGCTGAAGAATTCTGGGAGTTGAAGTCCACAAGTCATCAAAGGGCCAAGTGTTGAAGACCCCTGGTCTGGATCCAAGCCCGCAGTTTCATCAAAATGGCCGACTGAGGAATCCTGGGAGTTGAAGTCCACAAGTCATCAAAGGGCCAAGTTGGAAGACCCCTGATTTAGAAGATACAAGCTATTTATCTGTTACCCAGGCTGATCAAAGCAAGTTTAGCTTTCCAAGCAATTCACTTCGCAGGATAATGACGTTTGACGGTGTTTGCAGTTAGCAGGAAAACAGAGGCTCTGTTTCCCTTCCCTTCAAAAAACAACTCACAAGAAATTCTTTTTCTCCTAGCTACAGATGTCATGCCATTAAATAAAGTGGTTCACCAAAGTTAATCATTAAGCCCAAAATACAGATTTCAGATAAAGACTTGGGACTGCTGCTGAAATGGTCTCTCAAACCTCTCTCGATTAAAAAATAAATAAATAAATTCAGAAACAGCACCGATTCATAAAATTAGTGACCACTATTATCTACATACTATGTTTAGTGTATGGAAAATAAAAGAAGGTTAAGCTCTTCGTTTATAATTTAATAGGTAAACAAGGAAAGTCAATGTTCTTGCGTTCAAAAAGGAGGTGATTTGGGAAGATTATGGAATGGAGTGTAACAAAAATCAATGCAAAAGTACATTGAAAATAACGTAATTATTACTACAAATGGGTTTATCCAGCAGACTAATATATTCAGCAGACTAACTAACTATCCAGACTAACTTTTTTTTTGGGGGGGGGATAACTTCCTTAACACATTGTGGGAATGCGGTAGACATAATTTAACTTGATTTCTTTGACAGATCTGTAAGGAACTCTCATGTCGTACTAATTAAACTCTGATGACATGACAGCGAAGTGGCCACACAGATGGATTAGATCAGGGGTTCTCAACCTTGGCAACTTTAAGACTTGTGGACTTCAACTCCCAGAATTCCTCAGCCAGCAAAGCTGGCTGAGGAATTCTGGGAGTTGAAGTCCACAAGTCTTAAAGTTGCCAAGGTTGAGAACCCCTGGATGGGATAGATGTGGGAGCCAGTTTGATGCAGAGGTCAGAGTGCTGGCCTAGAAAGCAGGAGACACAGTCCCAGGGCTCCCTTAGGCAGGCAAGCTGGCTGTGTGTGATTTTGGGCACAGCCCAAGCCCAAAGTTGCTATTGTGGGGAAAATAGGGAGGCTGGAATATTAAAAGTGATTACCGCCTTGAGTTATGTGTATATAAAAAAATGGATGTAATAATAATGGGGCAGCACCAGGCAATTACAGGCCAATTACACATGCTTACCAACAACTTTCCTTGCTCAATAGTAGAACTGTGAGGGATCCTGGAGTCCCAGTGGACAATCCCTTAAATAGGAGCCACCCGTGTGCTGCAGCTGCCAAAAAAGCCAATTCAATGCTGGGCTGCATTACCACAGGGACAGAATCAGGATCACGTGAAGGGTTAATACCGCTTTACAAGGCCTTGGTAAGGCCACACTTGGAATCCTGCATCCAGTTTTGGTCACCACGATGTAAAAAAGAT